TTGCTTTGCTATCCACATTTGTTTTTCTTGTGTGGATGTGCATAAACAATTAAATGCTTCACCATGTCAATTTGTTCTTCTCTCACTTTTTTTATTGAAGTTCACAAATAGTAAGTTTGTAAAAATTGTGACCATTCTGCTTATGAACCAATCATTTCCCATCTTTTTTAAAAAGTTTATTAAAATTGTCAAAAAAGAAAGATATTTAGTGAAAAAATATATAATAAAAAAGTGTGTTATTGAAATTTGTAAATAAAAGAGGTAGGAAGTACTTATCGATGACACATTGATCTGTCGGCCAAGCCTAAAAGTTTTTACTAAAATAGTTTTGGATATGAGACCGATGGAAAATCTATGTTTGAACAATAATGCACAAAGAACAATTCAATGTACATTATACTTCCTCCCTCTATAAATATTTGTCACACTTGTATTCCCGAAGTAAAATATCTAGCTTTTTCAATTCATTTTATCTACATATTAGTGTAGAAATAAAAAATAAAATTTACATATCAAAAAACTACATGAAAAGTTCTTCGAAATAAGAGGTGTCAAGAATATTTTATTTTATCAATAACTAATGAAAACGTAGAAATAAACAAAAGTTCTCGCGACTGCTGAAAAAGCAAATGTTGCAAATATTTAGGGACGGAGAGAGTAATAATTAAATACCCTCTCTCATTACCTCTGTCCTAAAACATTTTCTCACTTAACATTCCCTTATTCCGATAACTTTTGTTTATGTATATGTTTTCGTGGCTTATTTGATAAAATAATTTTTTTTTCATATTTTATTTTATACTTAACAGATATTTTGATATAATTTTCAAAGATGTGATTTGATTTTTTATATTTATACTAAATTATAAATAAAATAATTTTGAAAAAGATAATATTTCATACTCTTTCCGTCCCTAAAAGATTGCCACAATATGATTTTTTCGGTCAAATCGTGACACCTTATAACTGTGAATTATTTAAAAAGTATATTTAATTATAATATAAATTTAGTAAAATTCAATTTATTTCAAAATATAGTTTTGAAATATCAAATATTTATAATACTTAATTATTTTCAACTATTTTAATTTGTTGTCAAAAAGTGCCACAGTTTGGCAAAAAAAGTCACATTGGCATTTTTTTGGGGACGAAGGGAATATGTTTGAACTGAAACAAGATACATAGTACTCCCTCCGTCTCGAATTGGATGCCACTGTCACTATTACAACTTTTCGATAACTTTTGTTTGTTTGTATACTTTGATTGATAATTTGATAAAATAAATATTTTTATCACCTCTTGTTTTAAATAAATTTTTATGTACTTTTAAATGGTATAATCTATACCTTTTATTTCTATATTAATTTGTGAATAAAACGATTTTAAAAATACTGAGATTTTGCACGTCATTTGGAATGTGATATTCAATATGGAACGGAGGTAGTACAATTTAAAACATAGGATCGAGTATGTGTTCACAAAGCTAAGTGTACACACACATAGGCGTGTGTATTCCTTTACCACCATATTATATTACAAATACACCAAGATTTGTACCTAAACTTACACCAAACATATACATTAATATTTTGTTGTTTCACATTGGCACAAAATACTAGTGCGATAATAAAAATTTGCAGTAACATTTTGTACTTGTGTGGACTATCACCCTAGCATCACACTGACACAAATAGAAAGTGTACACCTGTGGTGTACCATTTGGGGTACAAATCATAGAGTATAAATACCTTAATCCATTTGTTTATGATACAATTTGATACTATGAGCATGTTTTTAAGGCTTAAACTCTTAACTTCCAGTTCCTTCCAGTTTTTTTAGTTTCTTTCAGTTCCTTCCCATTTCTTCAAGTTTCTTCCAACTATTCTCGCTTTCTTCACACTCTTTCTACTACCCAACTAATTACTCTAAAAACAATATATTTTTAATGTGATTATTATTATTATTATTATTATCATTATTACAACTGTTATGTTCATAACTATAGTTTATAAATTAATTTTTTCATCTCACTATTTTTACGATTCACACTCATTATTTTTCTTTAACTTTTTAATATGAATAAGCCAATTTTTTGTATATTAATCTACATGATAAAATAGGAAAATATCAATATTTTAAACTATATTTAAAAATCATGAATAAAATAGTTACATAATGTTTTATTAATCTAAGTTTATATATAAGACCCCTCACCTATCCCTTTATTACTCAAATTTTTCTCATTTTTCTAGTTTTAATAAAAATAATCAAAGTCAAAATAGTTTAGAGAAAAATAATAAAATAGGAGTAAAACATAAAAAATGTAAAAAAAAAGTTTTATGTCTTTATTCCAAAAATAGGAGTTACAGTGAAAATAAAATGTCAATCATGAAAGTTACAATGCGGGAGGCTGGCGATACTACCTTAAAGAAAGCTCTGGTGACTCCGCTTTCCTTAACGTTTGCAGGTCCTTCTTTCCGAACACACACCAAGCAGCTCCAGAACTCGTTTGACTTCCGATGACCGGCTTTTCTTCATTTACTTTATTTTATTTTTCCATTGTAAAATCCGAACATATTATAAGTTCGGATTATTCCTTTTCCTTCTTCCTGGTGTAATCTTTCTGTCTTCAACAGAATTAAACTATCACCTCAAAAATTGTACGCCACTTTGTACCCGAAAGCATTCACCAACATTTTGTACTAGTGTGATGGTTTACAATGACACAAAATATCAGTACAAATTTTTTTGATTGAACTACTCCCTCCGTCCCTGAGTGTTTGTCCACTTTCATTTTTGCACATCATCCAATGCACTTCTTTAATCCATTTTATCTTGTAATTTGTATATTAAAAAATTATAAAAATTATATATTAATAATCTATATGTTAAGACGAATCAAACAAGATCACACATGACTATTTTTAGGCTTACACATTGAGAGACTTTGATGAGTCAAAGTGCTTAGATGAATAGTTCCAAAAGTCAAAAGTGGACAAACACTCAGAGACGGACCAAGTAATATTTTATGCCAATGTAAACCATTAAAATATTAGTATATCTCTTTGAGATACAACTTAGAATACACTTTTTGGAGTAGCGCTAACATGGTTGTTCCAACTATATATCGTTCGCATTGTTTTTTATCAAAAGATAGAAAGTGGAAATGTATATAGATAGATGAGACGGGTAGGATATTTACGCCTACGAGAGGACATGAGTTTGGAACGCATACTGCCGTACGTATAGTCCAAGGCATATATACTCCCATAGTAGCCCGCCCTACAGGTCCACAACAACAATCATAAATAATAATAGTAATAATAATAATAGTAATAGTAATAATAATAATAATAATAATAATAATAATTCTATTATTAATAACTAATATTAATATTAATATTAGTAATAATAATATGAATATTAATAATAATGAAAATTATTATTATTATTATTAATCTTTTACGAGTATTGTTTTTATTGTTATTTGAGTTTTAGTTTTATTCGAACTAAGGTGAACTTAGGTCCATTATTATTAGTAATTTAGTATTAACTAGAATTGTCAATTCGGTCACTTCTCTATAATGATAGTTGGATGAATTATTTTTAACTTACCAATTTAGTAACACAAATATTTCTACGTCACTTTTTGCATTAGACTCTCTTCGTTCCAAATTAATTCATACAAATTAATTTTGCAAGGAATTTAGGAAAAGTAAAATTGTGTGGTTGGAAGTGATGCAAATGAGGGAGAAAAAGGAAAGACACAAAACTTTCTAAAAAAGGATAGAAGAAGATTAATTTGGAATGGAGGGAAATTTTTTTTGATAAATCATGTAGCCTACAATATTTTTTTCTCATTTACACAAAGCAAAACATAATTGTTTTCACTCTTTAACACTTTTCTACCACTCAATTACTAATTTATACTTATTTACATGTGTAATGTGTTAATCATACTCCCTCCGATCTTATAAACTTTTCAAGTTTTGATTTTTTTGGTCAAATAGAGACTCTTTGACCACAAATTAAACATAATTTAAATAAAAATTGAGGGAAGACTACTTGCAAAAACAATAATATTGCACGGATGATATAATAAAAAAGAAATTAGGACCAGAAAATTAAATTTGCTCCATCAAGCCTAGAAGGAAAAGATTGGTTTGCTAATTGCTATTTTGTTTAGGCAGATAGTTGTTACTATAAGAAGAGAAGATAGTAATTGGCATGGCTAAGTTTCGTTTGAGAACCTTTATTAACCATAAGCTAGTTCGTAAAGTATAACTTCATTTAATGTAATTTTTAAATATGTAATTTTTATTTCCTAAATTCTACACCATTTTCATATAAAATGATTTTAAAATTACTTCAAACAAACATCATAAACCGAAATAGGAAATTTATCTTTGTATCATTCTGGCTTATCTCATACGGAGTACTATTTGTCTACTTCTGATATTTTATAATTAATCAATTAAATACTCTCTCCGCCTCATATCTTTCTTCCAGAGTACTATTCTAACTTCACAGAAATTTTTATTTATTTGTGTTTTTCAAAACCTATATGATAAAATAAAATATATTTGTCATCACTTGTTTTGTTAAACTTTTGATATAGTTTTTTAAATATGTATTCGTTTTTTAGTTCTATACCAATATTTCAATAAAGTAGATTGAAAAAGTTTAGAATTTTTGCACAACCTGAAGAAAGATATGAGGCAAAGGTAGTATGAAGTATATTATTTCTACAAAACATTATTTTAAAAATATTTTACAAGATAAATCTAATAAAATTATTTTTATATTAATATCTAATATTAATTTTAATAAATTAATGGACAAATTTTGTAAATTTTAACTAGAAAAAACTAAAACTAAACAAATACTCCAGAACGTATGTAGTATTACTCCATACATTACAAATGACTCTTAGTTATTAAAGTATAGCTAGAATGGAAAAACAAAATGGAAATGTTAAAAATGGTAGAATGGAAAAACTAAAAAAAGGAGGAAATTTAATACCCCTAATATCTTATGTTTTAAATTTCAACTTGATCGAGCACCAAACTAAAAATTACTCGTATGAAATTGTGGTCGGATTTCTTTAAAAGAAAAATGGTGTATGAATTATAAATTTAGTTACATTAATGACAATTGGAAACGTACTTTTAGGCAACAAAAAAAACCCTATGCGCAGAGAATAGTCCCATATTGTGGATGCCTGTACAACTCTAATACTCCGTAACTAGCTTGTTTGCCATATTACCGAACAGCTGCTAGACCGTTAGATCGGGCCCCAATCCAACGGTTTGGTCACCCAAACGCAGTCCAGAGCAACTCCGGCGTACTAGGACGGGTACCGCTAAGGCACAACCGGATTACCTGTGAAGTTATGGGAGGGGCGTTGTGGGAATGTGGTGGCTAAACACCAGTGATGTACAAGCTAGCTGCAAAGACGATGTCACGCTTTATAATATTGGAAGCGGTTTCCATTTTCTTGTAAAGGGCAGAGTTGCCCATGATGGCAGCGGCGCTTCTGAATTCGCGGCACGTCTCATCCAGCCTCACTATGGTTCTCACTATCAATCCTTCAGGAACATCTGTGAGTTGGCATATGTCTGCAAATGGAGTGCCCTGTCCCACAAACAACAAAGAAAACATTACCAGCAAGAAACAAATTTGCATTCATGTGTACCCTGCAAGTGTGTGTGTGTGTGTGAGAGAGAGAGAGAGACCTTTGCCCATTCATACACCACTTCAACTAAGCCAAACTTCAGATTTTCTGCTGCATATCCCTCGGGATCAATCTGCAGGTTTAATTCTTGTTGGATCTTCCCTAGTCTTAACGCGGCGTCATACAATCTGAAGTCACATATAAATCACATTTCGTGTAAACTCAAGTGTAATTTATCACAACAAATCGGTCTAGACTCCATTGAGTATTGGAGTTATACTATAGCTCGCTAGTATTTGGGAAAGACGCAGAGACATTGAAAAATGCAATTTGTGGTCAGAAGATGGTTACGATTTTAAAGCCAGTTCGCTATTTGTTTACTACGCCCTCCTCGCAACAATTGTATCACTTTCCATTTTTGTCTGTCTCAAATAAATATCAAGTACTCCCATTTTTTAAGGAAAGAACACAAGACTACACTTCTTGAACTCCGCGAAATCAAGGTGAGACACCCTTTACAGGACGAAAGGAGTATTAACTTTCTGGAGAAAAAATATTAACTCTACCTTGGAGTAGGGGTAACACCCTTCCCAGACCCTACTTTTGGTAGGATTCTACTGGGATTATTGTTAATTTTGTTATTGTTAATGTTTTAGACTTAACTAATAGATGCTTGCGGGAAGTAGTTGTAGTTAGAACTAACTCTCATTCTCTTGCATTATAAAATAGAATCTTGGTGAATGTAGCGATCTTCAAGAAATGAAATAACAAACTCTCTTCTCTTTCATTATCATCCACATCAATTCTCTCGTAAACATCTTGAAATTAGCTAAAGCTAATACCAAGATTCCGCTTCATCCATGAAAGCCTATTCTCCATAGGCAAAAGCTTCCCTATATTGAGTGATAACAGAAGAACTTTTTTGGGTGGGAAATGAGGCGTTAATTATGAGTGTGCAAAGCCATAGATGGCAGAGGGGGAAGGGAAAAGTGAAAGCATTTTGGACAGAATGGCATGATAGCACATCCTCCCTAAGATCCCACTTGTGAGACCTATGCCCTTGGGATGCCACCAAATCCATTCCATATAATGGCAGGAATTCAGACGAAGTGATGAAACATAATGGAAAACAAATATCCAAATGATTAAAATCATTGGAAGAGCAAATGATTTACTGAAACCATTCAGATGAATACAAAGAAGAAACTCGATGGCCAATGATCGGGAAATGGTCTCCCAAAAGATCTTAAAACACTGCTGGGTGACAAGATTTAAAAGTTAAATTAATTGCACTATATTTTTAAAACAAGATTCAAAGTTCACTTCAGAATAGAGAAACTGATGACACTCTGATGTGAACCCAAGACACGATACTCCCAATTTGACTGTACCTGTGGGACCCATCACAAGATCACGAGCAAAACGAATCCAAGAAGACTTTAACCTGCTCGTGAAAGCTGAGAAACTAAGGATTAGCAAGTTCTGGGATGTTCTGGGGGATCCCTGGATGATTAAAGGCGGATTCGGATAGTCCACACACTGGACCGTGGGACAGCCACGGTTGACCGTTGAACTCGCCGAAAGATTCCGGAGAAAATACGCTACAAACGGTCGAGGGAGGTGGAGCGTGTACCAACAACAGTCGACCGTCCGGAGACCAAAAATATGCCGGAAATTCTGGGTTACAGGAGGTCGAGGAGGATGGGCCGTTGCCTATCAACGGTCGAGCATCACGGGAAAAAGAAATCCGAGATTTGAACGGTCGGGGTCATGGACCGTTTGTGCGAAACGGTCGACTGTCCAGAAAGCCCTATTCTGGACAAATTCTGGGAAGCTCCAAACGGTCCACCAGGTGGACCGTGACAAGACCACGGTTGACCGTCCTTCGGTGGTTAGAGTGCGGAAATCTCCACTTAATTTCCTATCTAACCCTAACCACCCATGATTTGTTGACTTGAATGAAATCTTCCACATCACTACATCACATTGACCCTTGATGGATATTGTTTGGGCAAAATTCCAAAGGAGATTATTTTGATTCAATATGAGGGATTTTACCAAAGTTAATTATCATTGTCATTACATGGTAATAAGGGGACAAGGATGGATGAAATGGGCTAATCTCTCTTGGATTTTTTGGAGGTTGAAGGGCAACATCTTGGGAGATCATTCAAGAATATTTACAAGGATTTTAATTGATATTTGTAATTTTTATTTATTTAATTAGCTTGTAGCTTAATATTTATTATTTCCTATAAATAGACATAGTTCCTCCATTTGTAAGGCATCTAGAGTTTGAACTTTGAACATATTGAAGTGAATATATTGAGTGTTTGAGAGTTTTTCAAACAAATTTGTGAGTTATTGTTTTAGTTAAGATAAATTCTTTATCTTAATTAATTAGTAAATCACACCTTTCATGTTGCTACAGCGAGTCTCGTGGAGGTGCAAAAGTCATCAACTTGTGAGTTGTAAAATCACCCCTTACGTGTTGTTACGAGAAACCTCGTAAAGGTGCGTAAGTTACCGTGCTTGTTCTCAGAAAAGTCTTGGGACCGAAATATTCGACTTGTGGTGTCGGTTACCACGGCAAGTCTCGTGGGGGTCGCATCACACTCATCGGGTTGATCCAAGAGATGAAGAGAATAATTAAGATGCCAATTGTCAAATATGCAAATCAACCGGTAAAAGAAATAAAATAGCGAATTCAAACCTGCAGAAATGTAATACGGAGTATTTGAAAAAGCTACTAACCTCCTTTTAGCTAGAAAGAGTTTTGGTGTGAGGAATGGTTCTTGAGTTTTTTTCTGCTGAAACACAAAGGCTGACATGATTGCCACTGCTTCTTCAGGCTCCAAATCATCCAGTTGATTCTCAAACAAACATTCAGTGCAGATCAACTCCTCCCCAGAATTCATTTCACAAGCCACACGACCTTTTATTTGAACTACAAGATCAGAATTTATGCAGCCAATTTCCTTCAACACGTCTATCTGTTAATGCAGGCAAATAGAAATTATATGTGAAAAACTATTTTTTGAAATTTTATTGGATGGTAAACAATGTTACATACCCGACCCAGGAAATCAGGCATCTGCTGAAGTGCATCATCTGACATTTCATATTCTAAACTTTTCAATTCATCCTTGTAACCCTTCATTTGTCTAGCTAGTTCGATGTGCTCATCCAACTTAACACATCCATGACACTTATTTTGGGACATGTCTTGTAAAAGATTGCTCCATTTATGATATGCTTCAACTAGATCAATGTCTTTCAACTTTAGATCTGTCATGTAACCAGTCAATAGAGAATGGTTAATAGGTATCTTCTTTCCTCTATTTTTCATCCGTCCCAAAACCTTTTCTCGTTTCCATTAAAAAGTCACTTTTACCCTTACTAATTCTTAACCTACATGTCACATTACATCTACTCACTATTAATCTACCAATCAAATCTTACTTTTACCAATCACATCCAAGGACATTTTTGGAAACTCAACACCAAAATTCACTCCCCTTAAATCTCTTAAATATCAAAATCTCTCATGTTTTCAGGGACGGAGGGAGTACCATATTAGGGAAAATAAAAATGAAAAGACATTTGATGGCACAAAAAATAAGATTGCCAAGTATCCAACATCAATTGTCTACCAGGTTTGACTCTAGAATACAAGTGTGAGGTAATCCTAACCTTTAACACAAATGAATCCACTTTTATGTCATGTATTTTAACCTAAGCAAGCATTAATTTCTCTAGCACTGGCTCATGTTTCCTATGTAACCAAGTGCAGCTTAGGATAAATGAAAAAACCATAATAGACATGTTTTACAGACTGTTCACCATGTGAATAAAACTATACCTTCAACAGGATCCAGGGCAGGTGGGTACTTAGTTCCTCCAGATTTTTGACTTAGAAGCTGTTGGACAGTATGGGAGTAGGCTCCAGCACTAACATCTTCAAGAAGCCGGACTGGATTAACCTGAATTTTTGCATTGCATATGCAGAGGAACTCCTTACTCAAAACTTCTCTAACCTCATAATTTACCCCAGCTGCATTGCCATTGTGAGGTAACTTAATTTTGACAGCTCCTGATCCTTTACGAGAAGTGCCTGTAGTAAAATATGCATCCTCTACTGCACGCTTGGATTTAGGAATCAGTATCTGCATGCCAGGACCTTTTTCATTGCTGGGTCTACCCTTATCCAACTGATTTTGCACCGATGAGGGTAATTCAGGTGTTAGCACCAATACTATGTATTTTGTAATGTTGTTTTTAAGAGTTTTTTTCACCAAAACTCCCAGTAAATGGTCATTACCCTGTCAATGGAGAAAAAAATAATATATTAGTGATAGTTGACATGTTACTGGCAGGGTATGTCCAGTGTAAATCAACAACCTTTAGTGTGTTAAAATGCCCAGCCCTTTTGACCAGCCCACTATTCTGTCCACGAAAGTTGTGAAGGGAACACAAGCCTATAACGCCAAAATATCTAATTTTATATGTTGACCAATAACTAGAATCTTCTCCATTGAAAAATTGAAAACGGACGCCAGTTTCTTCAATCCCCTACACAGCACCTGTCACTGCCGCAAGTCTGGAAGCTTTTTTAGGGTAAACTATAATGTGAGTTTCAACAGAGGCTCAATATTTAAACCCCCATTGTGTCTTGAGTCCCTTTCATCCTGAGCGGGTTTCACCCACTGTTTTTTTTAGGTGCACTCAACGCATGGAAAAGCACACGTGCAGTTGTTTCTTTTAGTGTATTTTCTTGACTTGTTTGGCAGCAGCGCTCTGAGTCAAATAGTGCTGGTTAAACAGGCAATTACATATGCCTATCGAGTGCATATAGTTAGGGGGGAAATGGACAACCAAATTTTTTAATAATGTCAGCATATTTATCCGTTCAAAGGGAAACACATTCATATCAGTTTGAAGCATATATTAGTTGTATTGGATTGTTGATATCCAGTTGTAAATGGATAAGGATATGGTAAATACATATCATATTTGTTTAACATCCACCCGAACATGCACAGACACACACACACACATTTTGAATTTGCTGTAGTGCTTAAAGCTAAGGGTCTCTTGATGATTGCCTCTCTACTTCTAAGTAGGGGTAAGGTTTGCACATACACACCCACCCAAACCCAGTTTTATAGATGTGTGTGTGTGTGATGTATTTATAGTTATAGTGTTTGATAGGTATTTTCAAAATTAGATTTTCAGTAATCATACATTACATTATATTTGATCCTCCGTCCAGGAATGATGTTCCCAGCTTTATAGATGTGTGTGTGTGTGTGATGTATTTATAGTTAGTGTTTGATAAGTATTTTCAAAATTAGATTTTCAGTAATCATACATTATATTATATCTGATACTCTCTCCGTCCTGGAATGATGTTCCCAGTTTGACTTTTGTTCATTTTTATCATAAGTTGACTATGGGTGTAATTGGTCTAAAATACCCTTCCTCTCCTTACCACTTCCATCACCTGATCACCCAGCCCCTCCTTCCCCAACCGTCCCTTTCTCCGACTATGAGCCAACCCCCTCCACCATCTCTGCAGCAATCCCACCATCTCTGCCACAACCCAACCATGACACAGATCTAAAACTCTAAAAGAAAGAAAGAAGTTGGAAAAAGAGAGGAATTAAAAAAGAAGAAGAAGAAGAAGAAGAGGAAGAAGAAGAAGAAGAAAAGTGCAGATCTACACTTACGATTGACGCCAGCCTCACCATCGCCGTCACCCCACCTCGCCGGCAACCCAAACATCAGCGCCAGCCCCACCATCGCCACGAGTCCCACCATCGCCGCCACCCTAGCCGTCTAGCACAGATCTAAAACAAAAAAACAAGGAAAAAGAAAAGAAAAAGAAGAAGAAAAAGAGGAAGAAGTGCAGATCTAGAACGCCATCGTCACCACCATAGTCACCACCCTCTCCGCCGCCATGCCCTGATCTAGAAGAAAGATCGAGGAGAAATGAGGAGAGAAGAAAAAAGATGGAGGGGGAGAAAGAGGAGAGGAGGAAGAAATGGACGAAACTAAGCAAGATAAAAATAAGAAGATTGAGGAGAACAAGAAGAAAAAGGAGGAAGAGATGGAGGAGATCGAGAAACAGCCGAGAGAAGAAAGAAAAAATGAGGAGAATGTGATACTTTTGAAATAAGGGTATTTTTGGAAGAGTAGAGAAAAAAGGTAGAATGAGAACATCATTCCCGGACGGAGGGAGTATGTAACAATACTCTCCATTAATCCTATAGTTTCTTCTTTCTTATTGGGTTTATCCCAAAATTTCATTCCAACTTCGTTTTCACGGAAAGATTTTGTCAAAAGTGTTTATCTATCCTCATAGAATATTTAAACCACACAATTTCCACTTCATTTAAATGTCAAATTAATTATAATTTAATACTCCATCTATCTCAAAAATATTTCACAATTGAAAAAAGCGTAGACAGTTTAGAGAGCCAATTTGCTTTATTCCATCATATCCCAAAGTCAACATTGGTGGTGTATAATTAAAAAAAATTATATTTATATATATTTAAAAACAACATCAAAGGTTCTACAAAAAAGAGGAGACTTGATTATGTTATTTTAACATATAATCCATGAAAATATGTAATAAAAGAAGATATGATTTGCCTATGTGAATGTCGTGCAAAGAACATTTTTAGACAGAAGGGTACCTATTTCTCTGATTTGATAAGATATTTAAATATTTTAATTTAATAAGGATATTTAAATATTTATATTAAATTTAATTTATAAAAAAAGTATAATCAGAAGAAAATAAATCTTATATCCGGATACGATTTTGGATATTGATTCTACTTGTCTGTCAAGTTCCATGTCTAAATTCAATAAAAATGAATGGATGAAAATATGGTAAAGACACATCCTACATGTTTGCTATCTGTGTATACTGTAAACCCCTACCGAAAAGGGAAAAAAAAAATCATGTTTTGCACTTGCTCTGACCCCCCCCCCCCCTCCCAAAGGACCTTTTGATGGATTAAAGCAAATTTTTCATGCCATTTTCTACAAGCATATACAAGTTACACATGATAAGTTTAATTAAACCATCAGATAACATGCTTCTAAAAAAAGTTAAAAAACCATCAGATAAATAGATAAATTTTAAAATGCCCCTTGCCTAAATCTTTTCTCATTCTGAGTTGGCATGCTTATCAAGCAAAATGAAATTTTGGTTGTGGATTTAGAAATGAGAGGACCAACATCAACCACACAAATCTTTCTGAATTTTCCTAAAACTATGTTTGGCTTGTGGAATTTGGAAGGAAACGATGAGAAAGAGGTTTCTCTCCTTTTCCTCACCAAAATAGAAGGAAAGTTGTTTTCCCTTCTTAGTTTATTTTCTCCTCATTTTCATTTCCTTCCACTTTTCTTTTATTTTCCTCTCTAACCAAACAAGAAAAATTATTTCCCAAATTATTTTCTTTTCCCTTTCAAATTCTTTGAAACAAACAAAGTGTAAGAGGAAATGGAGTGAAAATTTTAGGACAACCCGAAAAGAGAAATGAGTAGAAAATTTTAGGACTAAGGGAGTATAAGAAGGATTAATGTTTTATAGTAGCTGTACCTAACCAAACTTAAAGGTTTTGACTTGGCCATTCGTGACTCTCATTTTTAGGATGGAGGAAGTATTATTTTGGGATGTTGATGGGTCACCATTTTAAAGATAACTAACATTTGGCAGTTACAGTTTGAACACGAAAATCAGCATTCCACTTTAATCTAAATACCATATTTTGAAACTCTTTAATGCAGATGCATCAATAGGATTGTTGTAATGCTCATCATTTATGGTGATCAAATGCTAAAATAAAGAGCTTGATGTTTTAAGTTCACGATACAAACTTACCTTTTGTGATCTAACAACCACAACTCTCCCAGGATCAAGACACTTTTGTGCAGCTTGAGACTGAATTACCGTCTCTGTGATCTGTTTATCATACTTCTCCGCCTTCGAGTAAATCTCAAAGTATTCCTCAATTGCAGGTTCACCTTTTATACACCTAAATCAAAATGAATGAATGAATAAAGACATACAAATCCAAACACCCAGCCGATAATGGCTATGTTTGGAAATAGCTTTTCGGACAGCTTTTGGCATCTTTGACAGACTTTGGCTTTTTTGACTAATTGAACAGCCAAAATCGTTGTTTGGCTAATGGCTTTTTCACTTGGCATTTTGATCCGAAGAGCCAAAAACTGAAAAGCCAAAGGGAGTAGCTTTTGGACTTGCCTGTTAGTAAAATTAATTTTTCTAATCATTTTTCTTGAAAGATATTCTATAATATATGTTAAAAAATAAAAATAAAACTTAAAAAAATTCAAAACTAAAAAACATTAAAAATTTCAAAAATAAAAAAAAAGAGGTGAGAAAATCAAAAGTAAAAATCATTAAAAAGTTGTATATTAATAATTTCTTATGAAGTAATTGAAAGTAAAACTTAATACTCCATATAGTAAAGATTTAATTTTTACATGTAAAACAATGAAAAACAAATGTCGTGTGTGTGAATATATATATATATATATACACACACACACACACACATATATATATATATATATCGGAACAACTGTTTGCAAACAACTAATTTTACCAAACATTTTTAACGATTAGCCAACTCATCCTGATGGTCAAACCAGCTAAACTAAACAGCCATTCATAACGGCTAACACGATGCCAACAGCTGACAACCAACATCCAAACAAGGCCAATAGTGCTCACGTAAAATTGTAGAATGTAGATGCATTTGCGCCAGGTAAAAGTATACACTACATTGATCAGAATTGGTACAGTTAAAGAAAAAGCGTAAATATAATTTGCACTAAGATTTCCTTTTAACGCACTACACATACAACATAAGATAGAAAATGGATAGTTGTGTGGCTATCTGTATTTGAGATTTTGTACACTTGTGAATATGCACAACACATCATTACAAGTTAAATGAAATAAGGCACTCTTACTCAACAGGTATCTTAGACTGTGCACGCTTTAACATCAGAAGTTGTTGTTTCTCTGGTAATTTCTTCTGAGAGTGAAATTCTGCAAAACTTCTTTTAAGCATATCTTCCACCTGCATTTGTTGTCAAGAGCACAAGCCACTAAAATTACTGTCAAGGATGTGAGTGTAAAGAATATAAACACTGGTCATTTGGCGGTGTCCTTTTTTGTTATGTTTTGTGAATATAATGGTAATAAAAGTACTCCCTCCATCCCCAAATAAAAGTTAAAGATACTAATACAGCATCCACATAACATTTGTTTACTTATGTGTTTTCATTGATTATTTGATAAAATAACATAGTCATGACACATCTTGTTTTGTAGAACTTTTGGTGTAGTTATTAGATACTCCGTATAACATTTTTTCATTTTCATACCAATTCTTAGATAAAGTCTATAAAAAAAAAACATTCCACTTTGCCTCGTAATTCCCTCCATAATTCTAACTTGGGGACCATCTAGATCAGGCGGCTGAGATCAGAGCAGTGCAGCCAAACGCAATGTACCTTGAGTTCCTCATTAACACTATGTTTGGTTCAAGGAAGTTGAAAGGGAAAAGAAAAAAATGAGTTGGAAAACATTTTTTTGTTTGGTTATAGTGGAAAAGGTGAGAAAAATGGAAGGAAAAGAACCATTTTCTTTTCTTTTCCTTCCAAATTCCTTGAACCAAACATAGTGTTAATGAAAAGTTAATGCGGTCCATATTGTTTCTCTCACTTAAAAGTCAACCACAACTATACAATTTCAATTTTTAACAAGTGGGTCAAGTCAATATGGGAAGAAATTTAGGACAGAAGGGTTTAAATAAATAAATAAATGTGTTAAGAAATTCCAAGTTGACGACATATATAACGTACTCTTATTCAATAAGATTCCATAGGGTAACTTCAATGGTATGAAGTTTACTTTGATTCTCTGACTAATTGGGGGAATGACTCGCGAGTGATTTGAAAACAGAATATAATGGAATGCTTAAGCACAAGTTTTCTCATTAAATGCACTAATCAGCTATGTCAATGGAAAGCTTGATCAATTCTTTCAATGATCTACACAATAAAAGAATTTAATGAAGGTAAAGAAAACTGCACTTCTAAGGAGTAAGGAAAGAGACTGAGAAAAACAAGCTCTTACCGTTCTTGCCGGAGCATTAACTCCCATTGCAAATGTCTCTGTTGAAAAAAGAACCTAAGGAAAAACCAAAAGTACAAATGAACTGATAGAAGCCTTGAAAAAAACCATTATGCAACATGTAAAATTGTAAGCATTTTCCTTCCCCAACAGAATGAGGTGTTGTAAAGCACTAGCTAGGTCAAATCGTTTTAGTTCCATCATTATTACTATCATCAACAAGATGAAGCATAAAGAGGGAAAAAAGAGAACATGTTTTTAGGTTTGAAAGATGTTTTCTTATTCATGGCTTGCAGGCATTTATCTTCCACGACATTTGTTTAACCCTCCAATATTGAGATTGCACCTCAAACTAGATCTTTCACAACCCATCTCATTCAAAGAACAAAGCAAATTCAGATGAATAATATATGACTGATTCACTGTTGAGTACATAACTTAGGAACTCCATGGTTACAGCTACTGGATGTGTACCACTCTATATTTCCCTGATCTAGCAAACTGTAGTAAACACCACTATCATGACTAGTGCCTTAACACCTTACATCCTTACCTTCACTACACCACGACAAAAAAGCATTTCAACAACTTCCTTCACAATGGGCAGCAGCCCTGCATGATGCACTCCTATCCCCCTCCGCAGAAGGCTTTGAATTCTGACAACCTACACATCCAAATTGAAAGTTTACCGGTTTACTTATAGAGAAGTGTCTGTCTGTGAAAAATATGAGGGGTGTGAGATTACAGCACCTGTGGTAAGTTTCGATCAGATCCCTTAAGCCGTGAAAAAGCTTTATCACAGAATACGCGGATTTCACTTTTCTCAGAGCTAGATGTGAGATCAGTCCCACGAAGATTATCAGCAGACTTATCACATCTTGTTTTTGAAAAGCAAAATATAACTACCTACAATCCAAATCCCATTAAAACACATGTTTAAAGCTCTAGAACTTGAAATTCTTTTTTTAATACTCCCTCCGTCCCTAATTAATCTTCTTGATTGGGTTTGGCAAAACTTTAAGAAAAGTGAAATTGAGTGGTTGAAAGTGATGCAGAGGAGAGAGAGATGGTGAGCCACAAAAAGCTTTCCAGAAAAGGAAACATGAAGCTTTTTATGGGACGTCCAGAAAAGGAAAACAAGAAGATTAATTTGGGATCGAGGGAGTATTAACTTACAGGACCTGAAAATATCCAGAAATTAAAAACGTCAAGGATCAGAGGCAGGAAAATATGTTACATAGTTTTAGGACTTAAGTGCTTAAGTAGCTGATATTATCATTTGAAATCTTGGTGACTAATCCACTTATCCCAAGAAAGCTTTTCAATGTGATTTCTTCATGACAAATGCTGAATCCAATATAACCAACATTTAAAAACATAGTGGTGATTAGAGGTGGCAATCGGATCAACCGGATCGGTTCCGGATTGAACTTTTTCGGTTCGGATATCTTTCGGTTATATGTTATAATCGGTTCGGTTTGGTTCGGATCGGTTAAATTTCGGTTCGGATTTGATTTCGGTTCTATACATTTTTCGGTTCGGTTCGGTTTCGAGTCGGTTCAGATACGGTTCGGTTATGAATCGGTTCGGATAGATTTTGATTCGGATACAATTTGAGTCGGATATATTTCGGTTTCGGGTCTAGTCCAGTTCGGATATATTTCGGTTTCGGATATATTCGATCGAGTGGACTACAAATTATGAAAAAATATATTTTATGATGATATAAATTTAATATCATAATATTAATTTTAAAATTTAGTTTTGATATATTAAAATTTTATCACTTCAAATAATATTATGAGTAATTTACCTAAATAGGGCTAAAACACAATGACTTTCCCAATATAGGACCATATGTTTTTATTTCCCAATGTAGGACTTTTGGTCATTATTAATTAGTCATTATTCAAGTAAATGTCCATTATTAATTTATTACTGGGCATTATTCCTCCCACTAAGACATTATTAAGTTCTCTCTAAGGAATAAAAAAGTTTAAGTCCTAGATTAAGAAAGTAATTATGTTTTAGTATTATTTAGTACAAATTTATTAATATCATTAGTTTTATCTTTATAAATAAAAAGATAAAAGATAAATTCAAATCGTATTAGGATTGTGTTACCACTTTTTGGGGAAGATGAGTCGAA